GTGTTACTTGCCGTATGATCCGGTCATCGTCGATTAAACCGGTTCCCACGCCAGGCTTTTCGGATAAATAGATTGACTAGTCACCTAGCAGGTTTTAAAAAAAGATCTGTGAAAGAGTGGATGAATTTGCTTGTAGAGTCAGTCATCTAGCAGAGTTTGGTCCCCAAACGGTTCGGGGCGGTAGAAGAGGATAGCCGGTGAGGCGCAATGATTGAAAGACAATCAATGATTTAGAAAGTTTCCAAAAATTCATATGCCAAAAATAAATATCATTTCAAAATTTAAAATATTATTATGGATTACTTGTAATTTCATGCATGCGTCCCAGTATAAATAGTTATAAATTAATATTGACCGATTTTATCAGTGTGATATTTTTGAATTATATCAAGTATTAAGAATATATTGACTCGGGTCTTCAAATTGGAGGAGAAAGTTATCAATGATAATCTTCTGACTAGGAAGATGTGGTTATCTCCCTTTAACCCTCATTTTATTTTTAAATGTACTTTTAGCCCATAAAATTTGGTGTGACGCAAGCAAATTTTTCATTCTGAAAATGTGGCCCAGAGAAAAAGTATCCGAATCAAAGCTGTAGCAAATGGAGACAAAGTGCTAAGAGCCAAAAGAGATAGGAAGTTGTGGAGTGCCTTGATCGCCTTCAATGGTTTCCTAATGGTACAGCGCGCCTTATAAGTGCAACAGAATGATTTAAAGACAATCAGATTTAGAAAGTTTAAAAAATTCATATACCAAAAATAAATATGAATTTCAAAATTTTAAATATTATTATGGATTACTTGTAATTGCATGCATGAGTCTCAGTATAAATAGTTATAAATAATTATTGACCGATTTTAACATTGTGATATTTTTGCATTATATCAAGTATTAAGAATATAGTAACTAGGGTCCGCAAACTAGAACAATGATGTAGACTTGGCTCGATTGCTATGCATGCACCAAGTGCAGTGATGACACTGCTGGACAGAGTGTTTCCTAGACCGAAGTCAACGGTCAATGTGAAGGGTTCTCCGATGGAATCAACTGCGACAGATCCATGGCCAAGGCGAGCCTTCAAATTAGATTACACCAGCTCTGATTTGACCGGGAGAATGATGAGTTTTACTCGATCTTTTTGAATTAATATCATGAAAGCGTTTTTTCATGTTGGTGGTTTGATTTTGACACGCTCGGTATGAATGTTTACTTCTCCGGCTTTCAGCCCAGATATGTGGATGGAACTGATCACTTGTGTCGTGCCCTTTCGGAACTTCAATTAACTCAAACGAAAGTGATCACTTAGACAGCCACAACTCATATGACACGTTAACTTCGTCCGGCTCTGCGTTTCTACCTCCAGAATACCGTGCCAAAATACCAACGCCAGAAAACATTTTCTCGCCAATCAGAAAAAGGCACACAAAGCCGTTTCTGAACCACTCACCCAAAGCCAACACAGATTCGACTTGACTGGCATTAGCGACGGATTCTCACGGCAGACAAGCGTAACCGACCTCAGCAGACAACAAAATTGACCAGATATCATTACGACACCAAGGCGTTTCTATCAACAGCGATACCTTCACCCGGTGACGAAATCAGTAGTAGAGTAACACTCGATTGCCACAATGTTATTATTTGTGTAATATTTCTACCACAAGCGTGTCTCACCCAACTACAGATGTGTGTTGATTTTCTCCACGCGTCTATCTCGAATACTATTTTGTGTTATAACCTGAACGAACTCTCAGTCTCCAACAACTGATATACAATAACACGAAACGAGCAACGATCGAACCTTGTAAATCATCTTCACTGCGTCTTATCTTCACTTGTTTTGTCAATTCCACTTTTTTTCCCTTGTTAACGCTATTAAAGGTGAACAACTGTGCAGCGATCCTATGACCACATCCGGTCATAGGACTGATAATCATGATATTTGGCGGGAAGTGTTGGAACCACGGTGGAGTAATGAATGGCGGCTCATATTCCGGAACCGGAGAGCCGAGTTCGAATTACATTCACTTACGTGCTAATAGTACTGGCAAAGCTATAAATTCATCTCTTCTCCCCTCAGCTACGGATAAATAGTAATAGAGTCCTATAGCCTTAGGTAACAACCGGTCTAGGAGAAGGATAATTCTAAATTCAAAACGTGTGCCGACCGAGGGCGACCCACAACATGTTCCGTGGTCTTTGGTTGTCGGTCAACAACTTGGAGTGGAGATGGGTGCCGGTAAGCTATATGAAAAGCCCACTGAAAGGATCACGAAGAAGAGGAATGTTTCTGCTCTCCGGTCCACCTGACGATAGAAGCAGTCGAGGGGAAAACAGAGTTGCAACCACTCCTATAGTTATTTAATACCAGCATTTTTTACTTGATATTTCTTAGTTAATAGTAATTATTGTAATCTTATGATATAGAATCTACAAATATTAAATTGAATCATCACAACAAAAAAAAATAAAAATATTTTTACAAAGGCAATAAACAAGATATAAATGACAAGATAAACTGTTCGAGATTTATACCCAATAGTAAAATTTTATAGTTCCATTACGTTTGAGTCACTGAGTTGAAAAATTTCTCTGCCGGCACCATCACGACCTCTCTTGAACTTGTTCCTTTTTGAAGTGCTGGATTAGATGACAATTAATTAAACTCTTTTACTTTCATTATTTGTTTACTTACAGCGGATATACCAAAATCAAACAAGTAAAACAATTTAAATATCTGGGAAGGGTTTTAACGGAAGACAGAAAGTGCAACACTGAAATCTGAAAATGCACTGGGATAGAGAAAGACCTTTCAAATGCTAAGCAAAGTATCAAGAAACGGGAAAAAAATCATTAGAAACAAAGAAAAGAGTACTAGACTTCTGTATATATTTCTGAGATGAGGCACTGTAACTATTTACATTCTTCCGACTATTCGCCTCATCTTTATTGCCATATTCACGACGTTTCAGCCGTTATACGCTCATGCCTTTATCAGGTGATATACGTTGGAATTTCCAAAGGAAACCTTTATTTTGTCCACTTGGGTAGATTGTTCTAGTTTCAACGTATCGTGCCTTTTCTGGAGTTTCAGTTTAGTAACTCAACTCTTCAGCTACAGAAGAGGTGAAAAAAAATCTTGGAGAGTTGAATTACTAAAGGGAAATAACTGAAACCGAGATATCCAGAAGAGGCATGGCACGTGGAACTAGAACAATGTACCCCAGTGGACAAAATATCAGAATTCGGTCCGAAATTCCAATGTATACATAACAAGAATAAAAAAAAAAAAAGGAAAAGTTGGATCATTTTCCAGCAAGGTAATTCTATAGAGTTCTTTTCTTAATGTCATGACCCTTCAAAACAGGCGATCATGTGTGTCCACACTTTTCCTCATTTAAATATCTGTAAACATCAATTGCAGAAAAGACAGAATGCACAGTTCTTAGCAAAAGAAACAGCCCAACATGTAAATTAAGCCAAACATGCACAGCAATATCTGGAAAGTACTTTAACATAGGACGAAAAGTGTGACACTGAAATCCGAAGACGCATTGGGGTAGACAAAGATGTCTTAAAAAGCTAAGCAAAGTATTAAGAAACAGGAAAATTTCGTTAGAAACAAAGGAAAGAGTGCTGAACTGTTACGTAATATCACCCTTCTTTTTTCTCTCGCTACCAACCTACATTGTATTTAATCTCTCGCTCTTTTTAAAAACTCTGGTTTTATTAGGAGACCTGCTGGAAGTTGATGGTTAACGAGCTAATTACGCAGATCATTGCCAGTGTAGTGACTTGATTTTTTCCCACAGCTCTATATAATCTTTATTAATTCGTATTGTTAGAAACAAAGAAAAGAATACTGAAACGTTATGTAATATAAGTCCACCTATATGGCAGTAAATGCTGGACAATTTCCTCTCTGTTGAAGAAAAAACTTGAAGCAACAGAAATGTGATTCTACAGAAGGATGCTGGTAATACAATTGATTGAACACGCGAGCAACAACGAAGATTTAGAGTAAATGGATGTCAAAAGGACTTATTTAAAACCGGGGAGAGATAGTTAAAATTTCTCGGACACATAATGAAGAAAGAGGGATTTGAAAATTTAATATATATTGAAGGCAACAGGCATGAAAACAACGCATAACCTATCGGACGAACTTGAGTAAATGGATGGCGGAGCAAAGTTTAGAGATATCAAAAAGACAAAATTTATTAAGAGACAAAGAACAGGAAATTGTGGAGAGCCTTGATCATCTACGTCCTGAGGGGACAGTGCGTATAGAAGAATATTATGTCTACCTCACATTATATCATGGTATGCTCATTTTTTAGCGAATTAAGGAAGGTCGAGTGTAAAAGTTTAAATGACCTTGTTCTTATTTATTAAATCCTCTCATTTACTTTCATTACTTATTTCCTTAAGGTAATATTTTTTTTATTACTCCAATCATTATTATAGTGGATGATCGTATTTGAAGTAGACGCCCCATTTATTTTTTTTATTTATTTTTTTATTTCAAACAGTGTGTATTTCGTAAACCATTCCGCGCATTCGATAAATCTTAATAAAGAAAATGTGCTCTTCGATAGGAATTGAACATGGTTCCGTTTTTATAGGGGGGGGAGCGTTTGATCCACCGTGCGTTACCGCTCGACTACGGATAGCGTCATCGTTCAACAAGGCTCTATTTCTCCTTTTTTTTTTTTTTTTTTTTAAAAAAAAAAAAAAAAAAAAAAAAAAGCACATCCACTTCACTTCGATTATTTTTCTCGAAAGCCCATATCTGCTCAGTTTCGTTTCTGAAACGTAAACAAAGCAATTTATAAAGAATTAGTGGATTTATTTTTAATTATCACAGTAATGTGTCTACCTCACGTTATAATGCATAAATAGCTCGTTTAAATAAATAAAATAAGTTTAGTTAATTAAAAGTTATTTCAGGGCGTCGTCCGTCATGTTTGTCGACAACTTCCTCTTTGTTATTTTTCCTCTTACCATCCCACTTCTGGCTTCTTGTAATAAATCATTTTTGTTGTTAGTATTTTGAGAGAGACAGAGGGCAAGAGAGCGCGAAGGATTTGTGATGGGATGGATAGAGAGAAAACGAGAGAGAAAACGAGAGAGAAAACGAGAGAGAAAAAGAGAGAGAAAACGAGAGAGAAAAAGAGAGAGAAAAAGAGAGAGAAAGGAAGAGAAACGGGAGGGGAAGGAAAGCTAGATAAAAACGAGCAGAGAGAGAAGGAACGAAATAAAAAAAAAGGAAGGATAAAGAGAAAAGGGAAGAAAGAGAGAACGATAGAAAAGAGAAGGATAGAAAAGAGAAAAAAGAAACGAGGAGAAAAGTGGAAAAAAGGATTGGTTGATTCGTTTTCTAAATCTTACTAACCATTTATAGGTTAAAGCCAGGAAATAGATTTAGGTTATATTCATTTTTGAGATAATGGTTAAGTGATACACGTCTTACTAATTAACCCATAGCTGGAGGGAGAAGAAGTGGATTAGTATAACAAATTGTAAAATGTTTTTGTTTTATACATTGTTATGGTGTGGGACCATAGAAAGATTACACGGACTCGGATCTAAGATTAAATAGTATATTCTTGGAAACGTAGTACAAAGGTAAATGTGGACTGGAGTGTACTTTCTCTCACTGGTGACCTGACTCACCATTCACTCACTCTATAGCTACTACTGGGTGACCCTCACTTGGTGACTCGCTTTACTCAGAGTTGGTAGCTATATTATGTAGGTGTGGAATATTTGTAGTCCATTTGTATATAGGTCCCCATATATATATATATATATATATATATATATATATATATATATATATATATATATATAAAATATAAAAAATAAATAAATGGTAAGATGAAGAATAAATAGGAAACGTTTATCAATCTAAAATGTTTCACTTTTATTAAACATTCCTCAGAGACTGAGATATAGAGAAAAAAATTCTGGGATTTTTACTTTTGTGTTGTTTGATTTTCATTACTTTATCAGGTTTCACGTGCATTCGACTTGTTAAACAAACGTTGGTATAATTTATAGTGTTCCGCATACAAGGGGAGACAACGCGTCCTTTTGAGGTTCCAAGAAATCAACAGATTCCTCGCCTGACAAACCGTAAATATTGCTTTATATATGTAATTGTATAATAAGTACATAAAGTATATATATAAATAGGCATACAAAGAGGCGCGCGCACGCACACACACTTCTGGCCCGTGGAGCCCCTTCCGATTTCTTGCTTCCTTGCCAACTACAATAGTCAAAAATTTAAATGCAACATCAATTGTCATCTTCTGTCTTCATAGAAGTTGTTCCTTTATTGTTCTTTCCTCATTAAAGTCTTATTTCTCTATATACATTTTTCTGGTAATTGTTGTGATGGACTTTCCACGTTAGTACAACAACTGAGCGCAGTACCAGATTGGCGGCTAGGTCTCTCAATTTAACTATTGAAATTACTATTTGTAAGCACAAGTTCTATGCTAACAGTTTCCTTATCAACTTTTTCTTCTTCTATGTGCCGCGTCCTTTTAAGACATAGTTAAGTTTTTTAAGAGCCATGATCGCCTATGATCTTCAAAAATTTAGATGCAATGCCAATCGTCATCTTATGTCTCCTTGAATCCTGTTATTTTATTGCTCAACCCTGATTCTTTAGCTCTCAGCAACTCTTTGTATCCTAGTGGCTTTATTGCTTTGTTTGGGATGAAATTATAAAGAAAAAAAAATTACGAAACTCAAAGTTGAAACGAAAGCTCGAGCCAGCTACGTGTCACAGAAAAAAAAAACTTAGAGTGAAGGATTCCCGAGATTGATCGAATTATTGAAATAAAGAAGAAAACCGGAATATCTTAATATCTTACAGCAAAAACTTGTTGGTTATCTAGGTACTACAAACAAGCGACTTCCTTTTGGTAATTCCAATGTGTGATACTTGAACGTAGTTTATTGAATCCCTCGTTTACAACTATGAGGATCATAGAACAGCAATAGAATATGCCTCTCTGCTCGTCCTCCACTCTTTTCAATGGCTGGAGTGATTATCTGGTGGCCGGTTCCAATCTGTTACGACCTGCTTTCCATGTTGCCATTCTCTGACAGACTCAGCTGAACGTTTTGGAGTGCACCCTGTACCTGTGTGTACAATTCAGACTACCGCCTCGTCAGCAATAATGTATTGGCACAATTTGAGGATTAATTTAAATTCCAAGTGTATTCGTTGTTCCGGAAAACACGTGGCCAGCTAGACACTTGACCGACTTCTGATAACCTACTTCCATCAAAACTATTTTTATATGACGACATCCCATTGATTGGGCTTAGCAGTTTTTTTTTTGTTTTAATATTTTTTCGGAAAGACGTTTCTATGTAAACAGCTTAATCTCAATGGTTTTTAAAGACATTTTTTCTTAATTATCATCATTTTCATTCAACTTGCTAGCTGTACCAGGAAGGTACAGTTCCATTCACAGTTATAGTGAATTACCACTAATATTCAAGTTATCGCCAGTTAATATTCAGGCTCGATACCTTAACACCTAGCCCATCTAATGTTTCGTAATTGATTGATTTTCTGAGGGATTCTTATGATTATTAGATAGGAAAACTATCTGAAGACAGCGGAGACCACTTCCTATATTGATATACGGCGAAGATGGGAGTTTATTGGCCACACTTTCTGGAAAGACACAAGCAATAACTGCAACATAGCACTGAACTGGGTCCCCGAATGAAGTAGGAGAAAGGGAAGACCATAAAAGAAAGATATGACAAAGAACTGTGGAAGAGGAGAGGTGAGCAAGAGGCTGGTGATCCCTGTGGTGAGGCACGAATAGCAGCTGTGAACAGGGTAGAGTGGAATGGTTCAGCGAAGGCCTTATGTACCACGAGGCATCAAGCATATATAAGAAATAATAATACATAGAATTAATCAGCAATATTAATGCAATTAATGGCGAAATCATTTCGCTAGTAGAACATAATGTATGCATTAAAATACTGTTACTCCATTGAATGATGTGATTCTCATTTATAAAACTTGTCAGATGATTCTAGTGTATATTTTTTAAAGTTAAGCAAGTACTTTCAAAGATCCATGTCGTCATCCTCAGGCTGTAATTTTTTTCCTTTAAAGTTAAAACTTGAAGACGAAATAATTGTTTGTAGACCGAAAGATGTTTTTTTTTTTTTTTTTTAAGAATGTGCTATTTATTGACGGTTGTACAATCTCGGAACGTGCGAGTCGCAACGCTAAAGTTCAAAATTTCAAGTGAGAATTTTTATATGAATTTTAATTTTGTAAGATGGTAAATCCACGAATTCTTTTTCAGTTAACATGACATGAACTAAGTATATAGTTCAATTAAAATAGTGATATGTCTCTCTCTCATATATATATATATATATATATATATATATATATATATATATAATCTCGATTCTCCCGTTGGGTTCGACGTATGAGGGTCAAGCAGATCAGTTTTCAGGAAACTGACAGCCCGACACCGGCACATGAGATTCGATTATAGTGGTGAAGGTTTCGTGCAGGACCATCCACACTTTTTCCGAATACAGAGACCTGGTGCACTACGTGCCACAAGGTTCCCAAACAACACTCCTTTTGAATTCAGAGTTGTCCTTCTCCTAGACCAGTTGCCATCCAAGGCTATAGAACCCAGTCTGTCCTGCTATCTTACCCATAGCTGGAGGGAGAAGAAGAGGATTCACACCTTTCCCAGGGGTATTAGCACGCAAGTGAATGTAATGGATTCAACCTGGATTCGAACTCTGCTCTGCGATTTCTCAATCCAAGCCGATATCCATTACTCCACCGTGCCATATATATATAGTCACTTTTCCCCTACCAGTTCACTGTCAAGGCTCCTTAGAATTCAATACGCCCTGGTACAAATGGGTGATCACCCAAGCAAGCGCATACGGTCATTGCTCTTACAACAATTAGCAGATCGCATTTTCCCTCCATTTAAGATTGTAAAGTCATAGCTATATGAATTCTTCATATATGTGCCGTATCTCTTCAGGATAGAGGCAATCATGGCTCTCCACAATTCCCCGCTCTTTGTAGCGCTTAATAAATTGTCGTCTTGTTATTTCTCCTAAATCTTGTTCCGCCATCCATTTACTCACTAAGCAGGTGATACGCTGTTTTCCTACTTCCCTCTTGCTTTCAATCTGCCCTGTGAGTATCAGATTTTCCAAGCCCTCTTTCCTTATGTGTCTGAGAAGTTTCAATTGTCTCTTCCTGATATTAAGTATACGTGTTCTTTTTGTTTCCATTTTCTCTAAAACTTCGTCATTGCTCACATGTTCGGTTCATGATATCCTCAGCATCCTACTGTAGAACCGCATTTCTGTTGCTTCAAGTCTCCTCTTCATCTGCGAGGAGATTGTCAAGCATTCAATAGCATATAGGTGAGCTGATATGTAATATCAGTTCAGTATTCTTTTCTTTGTTTCTAACGATACGAATTAATAAAGATTAAATAGAGCTCTGGGAAAAAATAAAAAAATACTATACTGGCAATGATCTGTCTAATGAGCTCGTTAACCATAAATTTCCAGCATGACTCCAAATAAAACCAAAGAGTGTTTTTTTTTTCAAAAAGAGGGAAAGATTAAATACAAGGTAGATTGGTAGCGAGAGAAAAGGAAAGGTGAGTAGCAAAGGAACTAGAGAGAAAGCACTATCCACCTTTTTGTTTCGACACCCCCTACTATAGTAGGGGGTGTCGAAACAAAAAGGTGGATAGTGGGTAAGAGAAAGAATACAAAATGGTAGGCAACAAGGGAGGAGTAGAACAAAGGGTGGTTAGCACGTGAGAATAGTAAAATAAAAAGTGGGGAGAGAATATTAAAATAATCTAAGAAATGGGGAACAATTCGTGGGACGGGCAGAAATCAAGACAGAATACTGAAGAGGTAGGGGAGAATCTTCAAAGGGTCAGGGTAGAAAGGGAGAAAATTGCAAGAGGTGGGAAGACAGGGTTGTCCAGGCTGCGAAAAGGGGAGAATATACCAGGTGGGGTGAACGGGGCGGGAATGAATATCCCAGGAGGCGGGCAGAGAGAAATAATATTCCACGATGAGAATACATGGGGCATATACAGGGAAAGACTGGAAGAGGAGAATATTCCAGGAGGCGGAAAAAGGGAAGGATATTTAGGCGAACTGAACACGGGGTGTGTATTCCAGAAGGTTGGGGAGATATTTCAGGGGGAGCAAACAAGAGTGTTGTCCAGGAGCTAGGGGGAGTGAACAGAGTGTGTATATTCCAGGAGGGGGAATAAATGTGACACTATTCCAGGATGCTGGAAGTGGAGTCGACTATTCCAGGAGATGGGAAAAGAGGAGAATGTGGAGTGAAGACGGAAACAAACACCAAGGCAGTTAATCTCCAAATGACAAAAATATTCGTTTCTTTCCGGTAAATAAACAAATCTTTTCAAAATAAATATTTAATATTTTTCAACAAACGGGTGGCGTTTCCATCGAGAATAAAAACATGCTTCGTGATCCTTCTGAAGAGTAAGCAAAATTCTGTAGACGGACAAAAACATTAAGGCGATAGAGAAGGCTGTTCACGACGGCCGGCGCGGCTTAAGAGAAATTCCCTTACTCATTCATCCGTCTTACCCACCAAGCGACGTGGCACGGACGCTCGTTCCTCGCCGCCGAGCTACGCGACACGGACGCTCGTTCCTCGCCGCCGAGCTACGCGACACGGACGCTCGTTCCTCGCCGCCGAGCTACGTGGCACGGACATTTTTTCCTCCTCACTATTCCCTTGACTCTTTTTTTCTCTCTCACATATACACGCGTAGAAATCACATTTCGTTTCATCTTAACAACGACAAACAAGCAATTTAATCACATGAATTTTGATACTTGTACATGCCGAGGAAAATTAGATGTAAAAACACGAAAATAAAAATATTCTATATTTTTATATTCAGAAAATTTCTCGCCTTTTTCTTTGTTGTGGGTCAATTCAAATCCGCAAGAAACATTCCAGAATATAGGAAGAAGGGGCGAAATATTTCAGGAGGAGTGAACCGGGGGTGTATATTCCAGGGTTTGGGGAGAATAATCCAGTGGTTTCTGGAAGAAACTAAAAAAATAAAAAAGGCGGGGAATAAAAAAGAAAACGTCATTTACGATGAATGTTTCATGAAAATCATTCCTCTCGTTTTGATCCGTTTCTATACTTTTCCCCCCGCTCAAACACTTGGTTCGCTTTAAGAACAATTAATAAAACTGACCAGAAGTCAGAATGAAAAAAAAAATCTTAAATGTCCTACTCCTCAAATCAACCACTGACCCACCGGCCTTCTTTTCGCTCCCTCAACTGCCATCTCTTCCCTCAGTGTTAAATGTTAATTCTTCAGTCAACTTTACAAAGACAAACCCAGGAGTGGCACGCCTAACAATCTATATTTAGCTGTCACAAATAATTCCAGCAGTCATTGACCAATGACCAGCTTTGTTATGTCAGGGTCAAACGAAAGAGAGCAGTGTCAGGTTAAGTGGTTAAAGGGGCAACAAGCTCCAATAACTATTTTTTTTTTTTTTAATTCTGAAACATCTGCACACCAAGGTCAGGCTTCGCTTGTTATTAACACTGCATTAGTCACTTCGGATTTCCGAAAATGCATAGTCCCCTGTGATGTTGACACATTTCAGTACAAAAATACTTTGTAGTATTACTGTTACAATTATGCCATTAGTGTTACTGTTACAATTATTGTTGTGCTGTTGAAAAGAAATAACGCTGTTAAGATTACAGGCAATGCTTGAACTTATTAAACAACAAAATTTACAATGGACATAGACATTAACATTTGTGTGTGAACGTAGAGTTTTTATTTTGGTGAATGTTCGTACGTACGTACGTGTATGTGTGTTTTATGGCGCTCTCCCTACGCTATAAATACTGGACGACTTCTTGCCTCGTTCTCTTTTCTTCGGGCCTCGTGCCGCATCCTACCTAGCGTGGAGGTGAGGTAAATACACTTTTTACTTTGCGTTTCAGCGGACACATTTAAAAATGTGATCTCTCGCAGAGATTTGCGTTTTGCCCACTTGTGGGAAAAAGCCATTAAACACATACACGTTCGTACGAACATTCACCAAAATACAAACTCTTTACGTTCACACTGTAGCGGGCCGTGTGTTTACGTGTTGTTAAATTAAATTAAATACACGTGCTGTTTATTCCTGCTAGAAGAAGGTCCAACTACAACATGGCGGACTCAAGTTGAATCCAATCGAAGAGGTAAAGAATAAATCACGTCGGAAAGTCACAAATCTGTGGTGGACCTTCTAGCAGGAATAAACAGCACGTGTTTCTAATTTAACAACACGTAAACACAAGATCCGCTACAAACTGAAGATATAATTATTCATTGAAATGAAAATTATAATGAATTTGTTGCATAAACATGATTCAAATTGTAGGTTAAACACACCAATACGAAAATAGAGAAACGTTCATGAAAAATACCCACAATATATTTACAGAATATAGAAATATATTGTAGGGTGACTACAGTTGTTTTCCCTTGGGTGAGTGAATGGGAGTTCAGCCCCTTTTAGAGGGTGAGAACTCTTCTTCCCTTGTTTCTTTACTTCCATTAGAGGAACGATTATTACCTTCTTAACCACCGGGGTATCCACACACGTGGAAAATGGACAATATGTGCACAGCCTAATGTGGAGAAAAAAAGTAATTTTAATTCACCTAGCCACGAACGGTCAATGGCCGTAAGGATGGTATGTTATTTCTTTGTGGTTCTGTTAAACATTCTTGTTTTTTGGACAGTATGAACAACCATTTGTTTTGGGGCACGTGTAAATCTTTTTAATATTTGTATGTAAGTTGTTTGCCTTATTAAATGTTTTTTTTTTATTTATTACGGGCGTGTAACTCATCTTTCTATATTCACAGTGTTAGTGTATCAATGGCTACACTAATGCTCATTAGTAATCAGCGTACTGGGAGACTAAAGCCTGATTCTTCTTGACACTAAATAGCCGGTAAAGTATGGCTGGCTGATAAACAATGCTTATAATATTATTATATTAACTAAACTCATAATTACAGAACGGATAATTATTATCACTTTAAACGTTAATTTTAGAAGATACTCGTATTCGAGTAGGCGCCCCGTTTACATATTAGACAGTATATTTAATTCTTTTCAATTACCGGCCTGAATGTTCGAGAAATCATATAAAAAAAAATTGCGTTGATCAGTTGGAGTCGAACCTACATCTCTTGGAATGGAAGAAGCCACCGTTTAGCCGGTGCGACTTACCGCTTGGCCACGAATAAACAGACGATCAGACGAAGCCAGTTTCATGATTTCATATTTCAAGCGAATATCTCATGAAAACTTACCTTCACTAGTCAGGTTGCGGTTACAGAACACCCCGAGAAAGACAAAGCGTCGTCTGCCTTTCACAACAACCGAGCTATAACTGCATCACATCGCGCCCTACAAACACTATCAGTAAGAAGAGTAGTGGGAAGGAGCAAAAGAAACAAGTTGACAACGAGGAATTACGAGTCCCTTAAAACATTAGGGGTAACAAGACACCTCGTGTGACTAACACAAGGTTAAGGTAGAAGGTCTATACAAGAGAAACAAGTAGTCGATGAATAAGCAAGGTAAAGAAAGAGTAGTAGTATCTTTAGCAATGGATCGTATGTACGAGTCCGCTTTAAGGTCTAGGGCTGAGTTTAAACCATAATAAGTGCCCTGGGCATGCCCACTCCCACTCATGAGAACACCCATTAATTGTGATAGCTAAAAATTCTTGGTCCGATCGACGATGTCCCGCATTAACTGATGTGGGACATGTTCTTGTCCTGCGTTTTGAGAATCGTTAATTTTTTTAAAATCATTTAACCCCAAGCAAGGCGGTAATGCGACTAAGACGCAAGGGGTTACTGGGAGTGAAAGAGAATCAGAAGACTTTATTGCAGAGAAAGAACAATAAGAGAACAGGTTTTGAAGATTGTAGGTGGCAGGGAAGCAAAAAATAAGAAAAAGAGTCCCACAGACGAGAAGAAACTATTAGAATAGAACTTTGCATCTAGCTATTTCAACGGTAAAACGATGGGACCTAACAGCCAATCAAGTAGTACGCTTGAATTCATGCGTTCGAGGTATCAAGGAGGGGAACTCATTAGAACAACTGACATGACAATAAAAGAACAGGGATCACGAAAAGTGAAGATAGTGATTGACATTATATTTACATTTTTGAAGATTGTAGGTGACAGGAAGTAAGAAATCAGAAGAGAATTCCACAGGTGAGACGTTCAAGAAAAGAATCTACTCGAATAGAACTTAGGAGTACATCTTACTATTTCAAGGGTAAAACGATGGGACCTAACAGCCAATCTAGTAGTACGCTTGAATTCATGAGGTCGAGGTACCAGGAGGAGATATTTTTTTTTATTATCTGTGAATTGCCATGATTTCTTGGGAATGATAGTGGAGTGGTTTCCCGTTACCTTCTCCACAGTTTTGAATATAGAGTTTTCCTCCTCATAGGCTGCTTGCCACTCAAGGCTAGAGAACACACCCTATCCTGTTATTTACCACCTAGCAGAGAAGAGACTCGCCCGGAATTTGAATTCCGCGCAGATATCCATTACTGTATCCGCATATATATTGATTCTCAATCGCCGTGCAGCGCGATCCTCTTGAGTGTGCAGCGAAATGTTGTCACGGCTTACATATTTATGTATGTGCTTGTGTGTGTGTGGAAGCAGTAGTGGTACAGTGTTAGCATTTGAATAAATGAACACCTCAAAGTGACGTCTGACACCCACTACAACTAAGCTAGCACTGGACCACGCCACATGCTACACACTCTCACCGACTCAGGAGAAGAGGAGGAGGAGCAAAAAAAAAAAAATAGTTGCCAACGAGGAATTACGATTTCTTTAGAAATTTCAAATTCAAATAATTCTTTTCGCTATTTTCCGATTATGTTAATTTTAAGTATTATAGTTCATATTTGTATTTTTTTTTTTTAAATATATGATTTTATTTCACAACATTTAAATATATACCCGTTAAAATTTTTGCTCAGTGTGCCGTTATAATTTCATTTGCCACTAGTGTTGTATATTGCTGCTGAGTAGTTGGTTTGTTTTGTTTTACAGCATATCAACCCCAATGGGTTATTTAATGCCGACAATTTTTTTTTTACCCCTGATAATATTTTGTTTTGCCAAAAATCTGTTTCTGGTAATATTTTTCCTTGAATAATGTATTGCTGGTAATAATTTTTTTCACAAAAAAGTATTGCTGGTAATAATTAACTGTTTGCCCATAGCTGGGACCCTAACATGTGCTACCACCCCGGGTCAGGGTGTACCTGGGACCACCTGCAATCAAGAGGTGGTTCCACGCTCCTCAAAACCTCCTGATCAAGGGCTTGCTGTTGGATGTAGTTTATCGTCTTACCCAGGACGAATATTACTGCTGCGCTCAAATAAGGCGAGTAAACACACACACACACACACACACATATATATATATATATATTATATAATATATTTGTTCAAATTGCGGCGACTGGGTCGAGTGAGGGAGAATCACAGAGGTTATGATTGCGCAGATAGGAATTGACGGAGACAAATCTTCGGTGGTGAGCCTCTAGCTACCTTCTCTGTTCAGATGTAGAATCAGACAGGTTATATAACATTTGGACACCTGCACAAATTCACGTGGCAACGCCTTCTTCTGGTATGTCACTTACGCAACGTCGTGTGACCACGCCTTTTCCGACAGGCACCCACACATTACCTTCCGCTCAGGACACCTGTGCGCCCTGTTTATTCTAGCCACCAGATCCATTTACTGTTTATGTTATCACCAGTTCCGATTTCCGCTCACACACTGATGCAGCGGAAGTAAGGCCAAAGGTCTTTCTTCAACCGAATCGAACACTAAGTGTGCAGTTGCTTAAAAGTTTGAGAGGTACTTTTTCTTCAAGACCCGGCCGTCAGAAAGATTTCAGTTTTTCTGTTACCACTCCTTTCAGCAAGTGAACATCTCATTTTTTTCTTTCGAGAAAACATGATTCATTTTTAAACGAGCAATATAAAATTTTCTCTAATACTTGGTTGTTTACC